TATCAAAATTAACTTAAGGACTGTCGAGGTATAACCAATTAATGCTATTTTAGAACCACATCTGGAGTGCTACAACTTCTCATTTACCATTTCATTCCAGATAGTACTTTTGCGTGCAAGAAATTTTGACAATTTAAGACTTCTGTTGCCTTGATATATATACAGCAATTTTGATTGAATAATTTAATGCTGAGCAGCATTACCGTACAAATTTGAGTTTATTCATGCTATCTGATGGGAACAGCAATAAAACATTGGTCTCTGTTTTTTGAGGTGCTGCAATTTTATGCTGATATATCTTTGAGATTTTATATTAGATGTTATATGTTACAAGGGATTTTCTCGGAAGATTCTACATTTATGTGTTTCTCCAAAATCATTGGCAGAATTTCTGTCACGTTTAATATAGTTACCACTTCCCTATTCTTATTCATTTACCTGAGAAGAACACTCCATTTCTCTTTTGATGTGGCACCATTGATAATGTGAGCAAAAGACCAACCGCAAGGGCCCAATCCAAGAGGTGTGAAGCTGAGCAAAGAGGTCCAATAACTCAGAGCAAGATAATGACTCTTATATAGGAAATTTCATTTTGTTATTTGTTGCATGAACAATATGTGAAAAAATGTCTTTGCAATGCATGCTTGTGGACATTTACAGTAGTTTGAAATTTTGAATTTTAATTTTCAAATTCTTGGAATTTGAATTTTTAATTATCATAGGAGAATGATTTTAAAAACAATAGAAACTAATTATTTGATGTAAACTTCATTCAAATAATTAATTTTCACTTGGAGTGGCTGGCCAAAACTCATTGGAGTGGTCATAGAAATTATGTTGGTTTTCAAATTCAGTACGAAAGCTAAAAATTTATGATCTCTTAATGTTCTCACCAAAACACATCAACAATATCATAAGAAGCTAATTAATGAATTTTATGTCCTCCCCTAAGAAATATAAGAATTATATTCTTATCATAAGATCACTTGGGAAAAAACTAGTAAATAATTCTTTCAATAGGAATCATATAAAATTTTGCCTTTGATACTAAAAATTGGTGTGTTGGGTTGACTCATTTGATGTGGCTGGCAAGATTTGATGACCTTCCTTAGGAGGCTCGATACGAGACCTCGGCCTTGATGAAGTGAATAAGCAAGTGGAATTAGGACTAGTGTTTCCAACATTGTCAGACAATACAAAAGAGTCCAGAACTTGGAGAGCCCTAACATTGACTTTAAAGTTTTAGTGTAAGAAAATTAATTGTCTTTAGGGATTGAAAATATGGACAATGTTAGATCCAATGATTTTAAAAACGCACTTCACAAGAAAAGCGAAGCGAAGCGGGTGATGACCGCTTCAAAACGCTGAAGTTAATTTGTATATTTTTCTGTGTTTTTTTAAGTTTTTAATTTTTGCAGCAAACTATTAGAAACTGTTCAAATTTTTAATTTGGAAGCTCACCCTCAATGTTTGCCTTAAAATTAAGCATTGCTCCATATTCTTTTCTATTTTACATCAATTTTGAAGTCATACTTTATATTTTATAATTGCTAATAAATGCATTTATACATTAATAATGTTATATAACCTATTAGCACTTTGATTAATAAAAGTGCCGCTTCACTCTGCGTTTTGTGCTTTGAAGCAAAAATAATGTCTTGCGCATTGCATTGCACATTGCGCTTCGATAACACTGATTAGATCAAAGTGTTTAGGAGTGTGCTAGAGTAATTAATAATTTTTGTAACTTTTTTATTGTTTACTTTTTTTTAATTTTTTATACTTTTTTTTAATTTTTTTTAGGATTTTCTTAGACTTAGGTGTCGGTCAACTTTTTGGTTATTTGAAAATATGGATATGAAAATAATTTTTGAAATTTAATTTAATATAATAGATATATAGTTTGAGTTTTAAAAGTAGTATGTTTTAATTTTTTAAAAATGAAATCAAGTGAATCTCATTAGTTCAATAGTTTGCATAATCATGCCCGATACCGCGAATACTACACCCTCCCGAAAGATAAGTGTAGATCTCGGCGATAGACCCAATCCTGCAAACTAAGAGATTTGCAACATCCGTTTGTTTTGCGAACTTTTTATGTATGATCGACAAGTTCCCATATCTAATACAAAGATTAAATAGGGTTTATTTTACCTGGGTTCCAAGCTTCTTATAAAGGCAAGCTCCTATAGTTAATTACCTCTCAAATGACTTTGGTCACTTGAAAAAACTCTCGATAATGATCAGAGGTATTAGTCTTCAAAATTTCAAAGTTTAGGTTCTCACGGTAGGACGTGGAAAGACAAATGGGAGTGACTCAAATATAAACAGTTATTTCAGGAGTCCAAAGGAAGGAACAGGTAGGGATGTCACAGATCCTGAGGAGAACCCTCAGTGACTTCCCAAATTATCCTACTGTGTGACTGCATTTTTAAAGATGATGTTATTCAATTGTTCAATCCTTGCCAATTTTATTATTTGAGACTTACATTTGCATAATACCCGATTATGCAAATAGCCCGCAGAAATAAGAGGGTTTACGTCGCGTCACACGACAACCTCGGAACCTAAGACGGGTTAGGACTTACGCTGCACAACATGATTGTACAAGAGCCTAAAAAGGGAGTGTGAGAATTTACGTCGCGTTAGGCGAGCTACCTCGAAGTCCTATAAGTTTTTATTATGCTAGGAAGAGATAGTGTTGAAGAAGATCTTCTTGTTGCTCGCTCCAAACTCCTCGTCGTGCTGCCCAAAAAGTTGTCTCCAAGCTCCTGTCAGCTCCAAGCTCCTCCGGCTCCAATGTTTAAGTTTTCTAATGTGTCAAGTCATGATGTCAAATCAAATGTTTCCTAAGTTATGATCGTTTAAGTGTTATGGGGGATATTAAAGTTGATTAGAACGACACCGGTTAGGATCCCACGGTTCTCTTGTTCCGGTATCACTATTTTCTTTTGAATTTACTTAGCTTAAACGAATTGTGAAATTCATTTAAACCGGGGAGATCTCGTTAGCAACCTTGGGTTACCTCCTCCGAGGTACTTCCGTAAATTCAAAAATACGTGTTATGTTTTTTTTATTATTATTATTTTTTTTGTTTTGAAAATATTGTTTAATTTTGAAAAAAATCATTTTGTTTTGAAAGTGAAATTGTACTCAGCACCTGCATAATGTGTTAGAGCAAGAGTAATTGCAATAAAGAAACAACAACAAATAAAATGTACCTGCGTATGTGACGTATCTGCTGCTGATATTCCTGTTGCATGTTTAACTCACAAAGCACAATATAATTTGCAGAGATTTTAAATAAATTGCAAAGAAAGAAAATAGTAAACAGTAGAACAAGTTGTAGTAACAGTTAGGAATTCCCAAAAGAGGTGATCCTAAGATTTTCTACAACTACTGACTGCAACTAGCGAGCTAGTATGGTGATCCTACGACCTCCTACGGCTCCGGGAAGCAACTAGCAAGTGTGTATAGTGATCCTTAGATGGAGTAAACAACAGCTCGAGTAGTGAAGATGGTGGAAGGAAAATTGTGATGGTTCTTGCAGCAACCAATTTTCCTTGGGATATTGATGAGGCGCTGAGGTAGATTCTAATGATTGCTCCAGGTTAAAAATTTTGTTGATGTCCAGTTTTTAAATGCATAGAAAGGTCTTTCTATGCTTGATCTATCAGTGTGAAATGGTGCGCAGTTAGAATTTTGCAGCAATGTTATGCTAAATTCATGTAATTGTTTTACTACGAATGCAGGAGACGTCTGGAAAAACGTATATACATACCTCTTCCCAATTTTCAGAGTCGCAAAGAACTTATCAAAATTAACTTAAGGACTGTCGAGGTATAACTTCTGACCAATTAATGCTATTTTAGAATCACATCTGGAGTACTACAACTTCTCTTTTACCATTTCATTCCAGATAGTACTTTTGCGTGCAATAGCCTGTTACAAATCCAAACAGTAATTTGAAAGATCAAACAGCACTTTTATGGCCTGCCTCAATTTAAGACTTCTGTTGCCTTGATATAAACAGCAATGTTGATTGAATAATGTAATGCTGAGCAGCATAACCGTACAAATTTGAGTTTATTCATGCTATCTAATGGGAACAGCAATAAAACATTGGTCTCTGTTTTTTTTTGAAAGATCAAACAGCTCTTTCAATTATTTTCCAACACCTTACAGCACCCCTAATGCCACCAAACAACACTTTAGATGCAACACAAAACCCCTAAAAAAAAAAAAAACAGCACACTCCGGGAAGCAACAACAACACAAATATAGTTGAACAGGTCTGATCATAGCCTAAAAGGTGCAATCAATTAGAAAATTAAGAGAATTCAATTTCATTTCCTGTAACTTCTTCTACCCTAAGTGGCATACTTTACTTGGATCCTCCCTAAAGCACTCGGGCTTTGAAAAATGAAACCACTCCTTAGAAGGAATGAGGTTAATTCCCGTATGGTTTAAACGAATGGCAATTAAATACAGACCACTTAAGCCTCATGAATTTACATGTCTTCTCCAAAACAACAATAACAACTTACCTAAGCATGAACATGTGTATTTTAAAAAGTTAAAATGGTGATATTTGTTATGTGCTAGGAAGGATTTGAGTAGTATGTGTGTAAATATTGAAGTTTGGGTGTTAGATATGTAAACACATAAACGTTAAGTGGCATGTATGTAAATCTTCCTTAATTTCAAGATAGCTGTAGGTAATTCAGATTCATTCGGTTTAAAGATGATAAACAGAGTTTACTGAGTACGAAACAAATAACCTGAGAATATATTGATTTAGAAACTAATTATTTGATGTAAACTTCATTCATATAATTAATTTTCACTTGGAGTGGCCGGCCAAAACTCATTGGAGTGGCCATAGAAATTATGTTGGTTTTCAAATTCAGTACGAAAGCTAAAAATTTATGATCTCTTAATGTTCTCACCAAAACACATCAACAATATCATAAGAAGCTAATTAATGAATTTTATGTCCTCCCCTAAGAAATATAAGAATTATATTCTTATCATAAGATCACTTGGGAAAAAACTAGTAAATAATTCTTTCAATAGGAATCATATAAAATTTTGCCTTTGATACTAAAAATTGGTGTGTTGGGTTGACTCATTTGATGTGGCTAGCAAGATTTGATGACATTCGAGCAAGTTGAGCGAGGGCTTTGGTCCAAGAGGAGGAGACGAGCCGAAGGATTCTGCTAGAGCGTATGACGGACGGGGCGCGAGAGAGAGAGAGAACAGGTGCTTCTCTGGGTAGAAGGATCGACAGAGAGGGAGAGCGATGGGTAGAAGAGAGGAGGTGGGGGTCTGTGGTTTGTTCGGCGTGGGGAAGAAGCGACGCTGAAGTTAATTTGTATATTTTTCTGTGTTTTTTTAAGTTTTTAATTTTTGCAGCAAACTATTAGAAACTGTTCAAATTTTTAATTTGGAAGCTCACCCTCAATGTGATGCTTCGATCGGGAGCTGCGATCTAGTCGCAGAGAGGAGCGGGTGAGGCGAGTGTGGGTCTTCGGCGCGAGGAGGAGATGATCGCGCGAGGAAGGGGCGAGCGGAGCTTGGATTTCGGTGCAGAGAGACCGAATGAATCAGGTGGTGAGCGAGAGAGATCAGTCCCCGGCGAGCGGGAGGAGAGGTTGAATTGTATAGGCAAAATGGACAGGGAGCCGTTACGCGAAGAATTGGCCGGGAATTATTTAGACTTCCATTCAGTTAGCTGGGTTCAAATGGAAAATTTTAACTCTCAATTAAGATAAAATTAAATGACGAATTTGAAATTCAAAATTGTTTAACCCTTGTTCAGCCCGAGTCCAGCCCGAATCGAACACGAGTTGAACCTAGGTTGAGCCCAGGCCTATGCCCCGCTAATTAAAAAAAAAATCGTGCATCGATTTCCGTGTCATTTGTGCGCGCGTGTAACCTTAGCAATATGGGTGTCCTTTCTAGCTAAAGTTGATGTTCCGGACGTGTCAGCGCGGTCCGTTTCGTCATCCGGAGTCGTCCGGGCGAGTTCGCCGACGGTCGGGCCAAAAATTTGTCAAATTCCTGTGTGGTGTAGCTAGTGCGTGAATTGCGGCGTTCGCGGGTGATCGAGTCACAAAGGATTCATCTAAGGCTGTTTGATCCTATAGGAACTCATTTTCAGGCCCTCTACATATTGGTCTTTAATCCTTGCAACTAGAAGTTGAGTTATTGGAACCACTCATGCGAGTTCTTCACAAAAATGAGTCAAGAAGTGGTTTGAAGTTCTACGGGAGGGGGGCTAGGAGTGTGCTAGAGTAATTAATAATTTTTGTAACTTTTTTATTGTTTACTTTTTTTTAATTTTTTTGGGATTTTCTTAGACTTAGGTCAGATAAATTCTTCTGTCTGACAGCGCCAAACATGGAAATCAACTATTGGAAAATATGTTTAAGGAGACTAAAACCATACAGAATTGTAATTAAGGGTTTTTAGTTCTATCTGAAAATGTTCACTCAATTCCAATAAGTTTAATCCCGTTTTCTAAGGCCATCAACCCCAATTAGGGCAGTTGGCCAAAAGGGATTTCCACAATACTAAGTTGGCTCAATCCCACTTAAGGCCATCATAAATCTTATGGAAAATTATAAAAAATCGATGATATAAACTATAGAAATCTGTTAACCTATTCAAGCTATTTCGTTTGGAAAATTTTAGTGAACTGAACCAAAACCTGTAATCAGCCTTTCTAGGTTAAATCAAAATTGTTTTAGAAATGCTCACTTTCAGCGGCCAAATTTACTTGGAATGAATCACAAATTCCAAATAAATAAACTCCACTATATGATTTCCAAGAGTTTTCAACAGAAAATTCTAAGGCCATACCACCACTTCAAAATAGTTGGTCATTATTGTTGAAGTTAATCTGAAGCAAAAGGTTCCGAAGCAAATGCAACTTCCCTTAGAAATGCCAGGGAGAAAAGCCTTGCTCGGGGGCTCTGATGCACTCTTTGTGGCATTAGAAGCGAACATGGAAATCAACTATTGGAAAATATGTTTAAGGAGACTAAAACCATACAGAATTGTAATTAAGGGTTTTTAGTTCTATCTGAAAATGTTCACTCAATTCCAATAAGTTTAATCCCGTTTTCTAAGGCCATCAACCCCAATTAGGGCAGTTGGCCAAAAGGGATTTCCACAATACTAAGTTGGCTCAATCCCACTTAAGGCCATCATAAATCTTATGGAAAATTATGAAAAATCGATGATATAAACTATAGAAATCTGTTAACCTATTCAAGCTATTTCGTTTGGAAAATTTTAGTGAACTGAACCAAAACCTGTAATCAACCTTTCTAGGTCAAATCAAAATTGTTTTAGAAATGCTCACTTTCAGCGGCCAAATTTACTTGGAATGAATCACAAATTCCAAATAAATAAACTCCACTATATGATTTCCAAGAGTTTTCAACAGAAAATTCTAAGGCCATACCACCACTTCAAAATAGTTGGTCATTATTGTTGAAGTTAATCTGAAGCAAAAGGTTCTGAAGCAAATGCAACTTCCCTTAGAAATGCCAGGCAGAAAAGCCTTGCTTGGGGGCTCTGATGCACTCTTTGTGGCATTAGAAGCGTAAAGTTCACTTGCTCTGACTTCAGTATGGATACTCATTACCAGCTCATCTTCCTTCTGATTGTTTTTGATGTATTTTCTTTTTGTATTATTTCTGTTATCGGTGCTTTGTAGGTACTATTACACTAATGTAGCTATTGTGCAACTTTCTACTTGATTTGTTACTGATTTTCGTAGCTAACCTTCATTTGAGTTTTGCATTGTCTTTTGCTATTGTTCTCCTCTATTCTAGTCTTAACATCGAATTCATGTTTAGAAATTTGAATACTCAGCCTTCACAAATTTTTTTAGCCTGATTTATAAATGAGCCGAACATGAAGAAATTTTTGTTCGATCATGTTCGGCTCATTTTAGTTCGAATCAATTAAATATTTAGCTCTTATCTAAAAAAGTCGGACGACTTTTGTCCTAGCTTTCATGGCATTGAACTCCATTTCCATTGTGAAACCTCATCTATGTAATCATGTAAATGTTTAGAAACTCATGTGCCTCTCGGGGCACGCGATTGTTCTTCTCAATTCCTTAGTCAAGGTTGTACTATCTAAATTTTTATTTCCATTTTTTGGAAAGAGGAATAGAAATTGATAAGCTTGGTAAAAAATTGAAAAGACTTGAAATTCTTATTATGGAAGAAAAAAGGTTGAGAAGGGGAAGGAGGACCATCTCTTTCAGTTTCTAGAAGAGCTTAGGCAAAGTTTCCTTCAACAAGCTTTTCACACATAAGGTCCCATGACTCCTCTATATTAACATCATTAGGTGCTCCGGGAGTTAGCCTCTTCTAATCTTTGTAATCCCTTTACCTTGTCGTATGTCTCATGTACCTTTTCAGCACATGAGGTAAACAATAAAGGATGCAAATTCTTTGATCCCCATAGTCAAAAAACTTTTAATGGGAAAGAGCATTGAAGCTTCTCCTTTATGGAGTTTGCTTCCCTAACTCTATTATTGTTGCTACTCTACCTCCTGAATCGTGGTGATGTTTTGTCGGCATTCTAATTTGTTTCCAATTTGTCTTTCTTAGCTCTTCACGCTGCTCCACTAATCAACATCTAAAGACTTAAACCCCAGACACTCCTTTGATATTTCAAGATCCTCTAGCCTACATAGCCACCGTGGAGGTTTGCCAAAGAAAATATGGAATGAATGGTGAGCATCTAGTACTGTTCTTGATATGAACGAGAGTAATCGATGAAGTTAAAGATATCAAAATCCACTTTGAGAAGAGAAA